ACAGGGCTTCTTTATCGATATTGCAACAGAGTCGGATTAAGACATGCAGATACTTCTTGCAATGTAAGTCTCAGGGCTTCTTTATCGATATTGCAACAGAGTCGGATTAAGACATGCAGAGATTTCTTGACAAAGTAAGTCTCAGAGCTTCTTTATCGATATAACAACAGAGTCGGATTAAGACGTGCAGAGATTTCTTAACAATGTAAGTCTCAGGGCTTCTTTACCATTTTTATTTTTTAAATAACTACTTGAAAACTTACATTTTGACGGACACAGCAGTTTTCAAGTTGCCATTTGATTAATCCGGCTCTGGGTAGCAATACGGTGTTTGCGTTTTCACCAGAGAGATTATGCTTAGTTGTATCACAGTGAATTTGTGTAGCCTATATTATGAAATGTGTCAAAATTTACAAAGAAGAATATGCGGTGCTTCCTTCGTTTTGTAATTATTTAAAGATGAGATACAAAAGACCACACACAGACTGTTGGTAAGTGGATGCTGTGGCCCATAGACATCTATATCTATAATAGGTTAAGAATCAAAAGGTTGATGCACTATCAGCCCTAATAGACGAGGATGTAATTGACTTTGTTACCAGTAAAAAAGGTAAGGTCACTCATCAAATTCTGTTCGGGCGAGGTCCTCCCCGAGTAAGCCGACGCATTCGTGCCGCGGCCATAATATTACAGCTGTAGTGAGACTCTACCACGTAAAAAATTTGTATAATATAAAATTAGTGTATCTATTGAATAAAAATATTTTTACGGATTTTATCGCGTTTAATGTACTATTTTAATTCCCGACGTTTCGGATGCTTTACAGCAACCCATGGTCACGGGGGGGGGGGGGGGGGGGCTGAGATGTTTGACGTCCCCATGTCACAGTTAGCCCGGCTACCTTTAGTTTTAGCTATTAAATTTTTAGTTTTTATTCAATGTGTAGTGTTCGCGTAAATATTAGAATTCATTATAGTATCTAATTTATATCTATAATATTGTATGTGCAACTTATTCGTTTCTATTTATTTAAATATATCTCGATGAGATGAAAATGATAATCATATCTGAAGTTTAGGCTGCTAAACAGACTGTCAATTGTTCTGGCAATTAATTTAGACAATCGTTTGACTTATTCTGTTCACCTACAATTTATTTCGTAATTGTAGTTTTCGATATATTATTACTGTACCGTGTAGTTGCGGTGTAAGCATATCCACTAATTCATTTTCTCCCGTGGGTGTCGTAAGAGGCGCCAGAGGAAACCAAACAAGATGGACAGCAGCGTCTTCCTAATGACAACTAGAAAATAAAAAACTACGGTTGCCAACCCGCTGATAAGCATGGCGACTATGGCCCCTGACTATCACCCTTATGAGGCAATCTATCAGGAGGCACATGTGTTCACAATAATAATAAATGAATGAAGGAAGAATTGCTGTAGAAATTAGATGTTGAGAAGAAAACTAAACCGCATTTAAATTCAGAAGCTGTAAATAAATAAAAAGAAATATTTTTTTAAGTTTTGGAAAAAGTAGGTATTTTCATTTATCAAAGATCTTGCGAGAAAGGTAGGTATATGGTATATAACCTTGCAATATGAGCCTCGATTAAGTATCATCGATTTCATTCCGGCCACGTTTCACTTTATAAGCTTGGATACCTGATAAAGAAGTCAAATTCAGTAAATATATTTTAGTATCAAATTCCCTAAATTAAAACTGCTCAAAAAACGGAAAGTAAATTTAAATTAAACTTTTACTTCATTAACCTACCAACCTGACATGCTCTAAAATAGAGTTATGAGTGCTAAAAAGCAAAAGCTGTTCTACATTTAATGCTTAAAGCTTTTATGTTTAGGTTATGGGTTAACAACTTACTAATAATAAACTTCCCGAATAAAAAATAAAAATTAGTAAATTTACATTTAAAATTTAGTTAATATTGTAGATATAATAACAATGGTAGTAATTATGTCCTCCAGACCGAAATCGATCACGGCGGCTATCTCAACGTAGATTAGCCATTAGCGCAGGACAGGATTATAACACAGTTTTTTTAGGTCTTTAAACCGTTATTATATTATTACTATTCCCTCATTTTCATAGTCTAATGGAGCGGTAACACTACACGACCGAAGAAAGATCAGGCGTAGGACCATGCTTTGCATGCTTTCCGAAGCACGGAAAGCTTGTAAAGCCGTTTTCTTGCTGACTCTTTCCAATACAAAGGTTTTTATAATGATTGACGGCTCCGTGGCGCAATGGCTTAGCAATGAGTTGTTATGCTGGGAACCGCGGGTTCGCATCCCGCACGGAACAAGTATTTGTATGGCCTACAAATAATTGTTCCGGGTCTAGATGTTTGTCCTAGTGCAATTTATGTTTGTAAACTGCCTCCACGACACAGGAGAAAATCCTAGTGTGGGAGTAATGTTTAAAAAAAAAAACAAAAAAAAAAGAAACGATTTCTTATATTTGCGCGAACACTACATATTGAATAAAACGATTTATCGCGTTTAACTCTACTTTTTTTTTATTCCCGACGTATCGGGTGCTTGGCAACACACACGATTCCGGGGTACTGAGGTGATTGACGTCCCGACGTCAGAGTTAACTCGGAGTACCTTCAGCTTTTTCAATTACTACTTTTGATCCGATCTACACAGAATGAACTTACCGTGTAGAAGACTTCAAGTCTTGCAGTGGTATGTTTGGGTTTGGATATTTTTAATTTTATAAATACCCGGAGTGTTGTTGTCTATTGGGGAGTCTGCAGTTTGTGGTCATATCCTAGACGGCTCCACCATTACATCAGATTTAATAAACTTCAAATCCTCGCGAAAGAACATCGATTCGGACCAAGGATGTTACGCGAGGCTATTGAAATTTAAAAAAATCAAATTTCAATAAAGAAGAAGACTGGGTACTATAACCTGCTCGGGATCCTATAATTACTAAAATTATATCCCAACTCAAGCACACCACTGCAAAACTTCAAGACACAGTAAGTTCATTCTGCGTAGATCGGATCAAAAGTAATAATTTAATAGCTGAAGGTACTCCGGGCTAACTCTAACATAGGGAAGTCAATCACATCAGTCCCGTGTAACCACGGGTGCTGCAAAGCACGCGAAACGTCGGGAATTAAAAGTAAGTAGAATTAAACGCGATAAAATCTTTAAAAGTAGTTTTATTCAACATAGGTTTTTCCCGACCCTGTTAAAACCAGTTTCTTGACAGTAAAACTCAATGACTCATTTTGGTCCGACACGGGATTCGAACCCGGGACCTCATGATCAGAAATCGCGTCTACAACTACCAGACCAACGAGATAGACTAGTATCATGTGTTCTTTATTGTTATGTAGGGAATATTCATAAGTAGATAAATCGCTTTTAATTACTTATTAATCAAATATATTACCTACTTCAAAGCTAATTGGCGATTACATAAGTATTTTCTAATTGTCAAAACATTTGAGCGTACCAATACATTTTTTTCTACGTTTTATTTTATAGGATAGCGTGACAAACGAGCACGCAGTCCATCTAATGGCAAGTGGTTGCTGTGACCCATATACATCCACATCTATCCTCAATAAAGAATCAAAATGCAGATACGTTGTCAGCCGTGAGGACTAAGATGCCTCTTTTCCAGTAAAAAGGGTCTCCGGTTCTCTACACTCACCATACGAAACACAGCAGTGTTAAACTGCTATTTTACGGCTCTCTTTTTTGGTATTCCACGGCTCTACGCGAGCAAACCGGGTTCGATCCCCACCGGTACCAATGAAATTGTTAATTGCAATTTTAAGTGCTGATTTACCACGTGCTCGGCGGTGAAGGAAAACATCGTGAGGAAACCTGCATGTGTGAGGAATAAGAAAATAATATTTCGAAGACATGTGAAGTTCGCCAACACGCATTGGGGCAGCGCGGCGTACACTTCCTTGCCTTAAAACCTTCTCAGAAAGGAGGTCTCCCCTCCCTGTGCCCAGGAGTGGGACGTATTTAGGCTGAAACTTTACTTTAACTTACTGTGGTCCTTCCCCGGTCGAGCCGACCCATTCATGCTACAACCATACTAATATAGCTGCATCATGGCTCTACCACGTAAGTGCTCTACGTGGTAGAGCCACGCTGCAGCTATATTATGGTTGTAGTTCTTTTAACTATTATTTATTCTGTGGTTGTAGCACGAATGGGTCGGCCCGACCGGGGTAGGACCACGACCTAACAAAATAACTCCTTAGCTTAATGCTTAAGAGAACCGGAGACACTTTATGCTGGCAGGCATTTCATCTCAGTCATCAGGGATGACAACGCATCTTCATTTCGATTCTTAAATGAGGATAAGTGTTTTATGGGCCACAGTATCCCCTTATCATCAGGTGGACTGTGTGTTCGTCTGTCACACTTACAAAAAAGGGATTCATAGAACATGCTAGTAGGTATTGAGTAGTTATCATTTAAAAAAGTAAAAAAATACTCTCTTATAACTTTGGCATCGAAAATTAGTTTTTGAATCATAACGTAACGAAATGTTTCTCAGACATTAACTTTTCAAAACCAATTACTTTAACCGTTAATATTCATTTAAGTTATAAATAATATACGTAGACGTGTCAATTATTTGCCTCTCGTAATCGTTTTCCGTTAAAAATAGCTCTTTTTTTTTTAATTTTTACTCATCTTTACTCCAGTTAAAAGAAGCCACGCCTTGCGGCTTTTGAAATAGTGTCGAATGAACACAACATGAAACACCCATCAAGACACGACAATTGAAAGCACTCCTAAGGTGAAATGTGTATAAAGTTGTGTTTCCAATAACAAAATTAAACAATTATTTCATTCACTAATTTCAGATCTATCTCGAGTAACATAGAGACGAAAGTTGTGTTCGATTTGGGCAAATGGGTGTGTTCAAACGATGTTTACAGGCTACTTTTTCGTTGCCTCTGCGCACATGTTGTTTTCGGCACCACATAGAACCGGAGCCAGATCAGTGCATTGAGTCCATTAGTTCACACATTAGCATGAGTTAGTCGAATTATTTAATTAGGTAATTCAATAAGGTAGTGAATTAATATCAATTATTTAGCGTCGCGATCGAAACGATACTGGACGTTGGCTTTTATTTAAATTGAATGTGACGCACTTACGAAACAAGATTTTTTTTGTTTAACTAATAACACAAATTTTACGCGTTTATTAAAAGTGATACTGATAAGCAGATTTGCAAATATTGGAATGGAACAAAATAAAGGTGAGCAATAAACTAAAATTTATTACTGCAATTAAAACCAAAGTACCTATTTATTATTATTTCCTTTAAATAATTTATTTTGGTGATTTTAATCTGCCACTACTCGTGCCCAGATATGGATTAATTAGAAAAGTGAGGAAAATACTTTTTACGTTTTTTATACGTGGTAGAGCCATGTTGCAGCTATATTATAGTTGTACCACAAATGGGTCGGCTCGACCGGGGAAGGACCACGCTCTCACAGAATACCAGCGTAAAATAGCAGTTTAACGCTGCTGTGTTTCGTATGGTAAGTGTAGAGAACCGGAGACCCTTTTTACTGGAAACGAGGCATTCCATCTTAGTCCTCACGGGTGACAACGCATCTGCATTTTGATTCTTAATCGAAGATAGATGTAGATGTCTATGGGCCACAGCAACCACTTACCATCAGGTGGTCTGTGTGCTCGTTTGTCACCCTTATCCTATAAAAAAAAACGTGATTTAAAAAGTTAAAAAATTCGTTGCATTGCCTAGGAGCTTCTAGATGACCAAATCCATCCCAACTCATGCTCTTATTTCATATCTTTATATAAGACTCAAAGGCGTGGCCTAAGAAAGGTGTGCGCCAGCTATTATTTATTCTGTGGCACTAGTAAGAGTGAAATGTCAAAAAACATTGTATTTGTATTGATAATACAATTTTATTGAAGTGAAAACAATTATAGATAGGGTAAGCAGTATAATGATTGGCACTTAAAGCGGATTTCTACTTGTAAGTGGTTAATTCTCGTAAATAAACAAATTTGATATATTTTTTATTGTTTTGTTGGATTTTAGTTTAGATAGCCATAAATAAAATAACGCATTACATTGGCACCATTGGAAGTCTTAAAAAGTTATACTCAGATCTTTCTAAGCTCCATCTTATTGTTATAACACTTATTTTGAACAAATCTTCTTCAAAAATTTTCCTTAGATCTTCATCTGAAAGCGGTTTCGTTTGTCTACCATGTTTTTTTCTTTCTTCGCATACATTTTTGATGTGACTTTTTTAGTAAAACCAATCGTATTTTCTCGATATTTTGTAGAAATAGAACTTTATTTCGGTTTTTTAGATTAAAGATTTAGAGAGTATTATAATGTGAGAGTTTTTGGCTTCGTTCTTCTTGTTTTGTTTGTCAGTTTGTTTCTATATCTGGCTGACTAATTCAATTCTGCATTTTCCTATTGTGCCCCATTTTCCATTATTTTTTTAGCTCCGCTGCTTCCGAATCTTAACTTGTTAGCACAAAATAACGGCGTTGTTTACCTGCTTTTTGCTTTTTGATACGTATTTTGGCAATGGAAATCACTCTATATATATTTTTATGGCTTTCTAAAAGATTTTAGTTTATTTCGACATCCACAATCACCCATTCACCTCCAACAAATTCTAAATTTGCTGCCTAGTTGATGAAAAACATAAGGTTAGTATTCTTTCTGATACTCAACAATAATCTCTGCAGGTTGTATACGCTCTGGTACTGATATACCATTATTAAGTGAAAGGATACAAGGCAAATTTGATACAGGTATTTCTGATTCAGTAGTTATTAGTCGTTATTCTTAAAATATTAGGTAATTCGGCGTAATGGCAAGGAACGGTGATCATCTAAAATGCCTTGCTGTGATTTCGAGGGCACCGGACACTTTGTTTAATCCACTTTGTTTGGACTAAATGGGCACAACCCACATGTCTCAAAACCATTTCATAATGTAGATTTATTTCAATACGGTAAAAGTCTTGCTAATACGAGTATAGGCCCGCATCTCTTTTAGTAACCTTTTTGTCAAATTGTTTGTCCGTCATTTGAAGACAGGTTTACGCCACATATCTTTGGTGGGCCGAAATGCAGTGATATCAGCTGATTACAATAGTCGCGTTGCATTCAGATTAAGGGCTATAAGTATTGTGTCAAGACTTGGGCAAAGTTGCGCCGTACTTAAGATAGTAAATAACCCTCTCTCTAGGCACTAACTTTTGAACGTCTGATCACATTTTCTATAGGGGAAAAATAATAGGTTTTACCGTCTACTCCAAAGAACAGTGATGCAAGATTTCGATTAGGCATGATCCACCTCATAGACGTTTTATTCTCCCTCTATAAAACGGTTTAGTATGTATGGGGTATTTATTCAAAAACCTCACATCATTGACATTTTTATGACATCGAAAACTGTGCCAGTACCAGGTCGGCTTTTCAGCTTGCTAGTTTTTTTACTTTACTTATTTAGTGGGAACTGTAAATTCGCGCGTGGAATGTTAAATGTTAGTGCGGCAGTTATTTTTCTAAAACGCCCGCTCTTAATATCAGTATTCTTCATCAATGCAAAATATGAAAAAGTTCAGTCATAACCATTGGCACTACTCAAAGGATATAGTCATTGGCAGTGTCAAGAATAGATTTTGGACAAAAGAAAGAAAGTATAGTAATTGACATATATGCCAATGATTATGTAGTCAAACAAAGTAAAGTATAGTCATTGGCACAATTAAAAAAACTGACGCTTCTATTTCACAACGATAAAATAACGTTTAATATGCTTTAATGACGTTAATTGATTAAAATAGACAGAAACTTGCATATAAAGTTACTTAAAAATCACATTTTTGTCTCAAAATCTAGCCACGAAACCTTAACTTTTTGTTAAATTTTAACGGATTTGTCCGCACACATTTTTAAAACAGCCCTTATAGGAAAATAGTTGACGCTTTAAATATAAATGTGTGCTGTGATATAGAAAAAGGAAAACATTCTTAATATTTAGATTAAAATAGCAAAGTGCCAATCATTGTAGGAGTGCCAACATTAGTAGTACTGTTTACCCTATACAGCCAAATATTCAAACGTTACTCAATTTTGAGATGTCGTTAAGACTCGTGGTGTCACACTCACTTTGACTTAAACTGATAGAGACAGCACGAGACTTAACGGCATATTAAAATTGAGTAGAGTTTGGTATTTGGGCATTCGATACCCAAATCGCATTTTTCTTCATACATTATACACAGGAAATGACTAAAATAAACCAATATAACAATTTTAACATCTAGTTTTTCATACGGCACATAAGTAGGTAGGTACTACAGAACTCTTCTAGTTTAGATATGTAGGTGTAGCTAAGACAGTTAGATGGGTAGGTACATACATAAACACTCACGCCTGTCACCCAGAGGGGTAGGTAGAGACTACGGACTTCCATTTGGCGCGATCCTGACACACCTCTCTCGCCTCCTCCATATATCTACGCATACACGCTCGTCGGTTAAGGGTAGGTATCTGGTCCATTTTTAATGTATCGCCGATTTGGTCGATAAACCTTCATCTAAGGCGTCCCTTCCCGACCCTGCCGTTCACTTCTGCAAACTTAGGTATTTAAGAAGTATATATCTAACAACTTTAATTATGTGAAGATTCCAGTTGTGAGAAGATTATGTGACACACCAATACACGGTTAACTAATTTCGAAGACATTATTGTTAATGTATTATTTATTATTTAAATTCTGATATTAAAGAATACAATAAAATTGTCTCGTTCTTAAAGTACATAATACGATTTTGTTCGCCTAAAACTTAAAGTTAGAGTAGAGCTCATATAGGTAATTTATGGTAGCGCTTACTCTTTTCTTTTATTATCTTTTTAACCGAGTTTCAAAAAACGAGAAATTACTAGGTACTTATATTTGACGAGTATGTTTTTCATGTGTGTTTACCGATTTTTCTGAAACGGCTAAACAAATTTTAAAGATTCTTTTTATACTAAAATAGTGAACAAAAAAGGTTTTTTTTTAATGTAACTATTTAGATGACAATTTAGTAATTACTTTTTTAGTTTTTAGTAATTACATTTTAGTAGATAACTACTACTATTATTTATGAAAATGAGATAAGCATGGATGAAATAGTGAAAGCGTTGAAAAGTATGAGATTAGGTAAGGCTGCAGGGTATGACAGGATTACCGTCGAGATGCTGAGGGCTGGACAGGGCCTGGTGGCTAGTCAGCTGTACCGCCTTTTCAATCTGTGCTGGCGAAATGGGCAAGTACCGGGAGACTGGTGCAAAGCCGTAATCGTGCCATTGTATAAGGGAAAAGGGTCACGGTAGGACTGCATAAATTACCGCGGTATAAGCCTTCTCAGCGTCGTCGGTAAATTGTATGCGAAAGTGTTGATTGAAAGGATTGTGAATGAAACAGACAAGAAAGTATGGGATGCACAAGCGGGATTTAGAAAGGGAATGGGATGTACGGATCAGGTCTTTTCCTTGCGGTGCATAGCCGAAAAGTATTTGGCTAAAAACAAGAAAGTCTACTGCGCGTTCGTAGATCTAGAAAAGGCCTATGATAGAGTGGTGAGGAATGAATTGTGGTCAGCACTGTCCGTGAACGGTGTGAGCAGTATCCTCATACGAGCAATGCAATCTCTTTATAGGGATTCTAGTGCTTGTGTAAGGATAAACGGGGCATGCACTGAATGGTTTAATATCGAAAAAGGTGTTAGACAGGGATGTGTAGCGTCACCGTGGCTGTTTAATCTGTTCATGGACAATTGTTTGACAGATTTAAAAGAGAATGAAAGTGGTCAACCCACTGAATGAATGAATGAGTTACTCGTCAAATGTTTTCTTTATGCTGATGACCAAGTATTACTTGCGTCTTCGGCCGAGGAGTTGCAGGAGATGGTAACTGCTATGAGTGGAGCTTTTGTTAGAAAGGGAATGAAGATGAATGTAAGGAAGACGAAAGTGATGGTGTTTGAAAAAGATGAGGCAGTGACAGACTGCAACATTGTGATTGAAGATGAACAAATTGAACAGGTGAAAGAGTTTGTGTATCTGGGTTCAAAGTTTACAAGAGATGGAAAGTGTGAGAGTGATATCGAAAGAAGAGTGAATGCAGGAAACATGGTGAATGGAGCTTTGCACTCCTTTATGAGCAGTCGGAAGGTGTCTAACAAGGCTCGTTTGGCTGTGCAT